ATCAGCCTTGACGAAGATCAGTGCTAACGTTGAAAAGCTTCGACTTAACGGCATTAACTCTGATGCAGCACCTGCTATCACAATACAGTGCTTGGATGGCTCAGAGCATCTGGCCGTCTATCCCGTATGGTCACAGGCATGACCACAACTGACCACAAACTGTTGCGCGGGATCCGGTCAGAGTAGGTCAACAAGCAGATGTACACCGGATTGGCGAACTCCCACGATTTCTCAACAGTCTGGAGCAGGGCAAATACATGGTCACAGGTGCTTTGACCTGGACGGAAGCCACACTGCTCTTCCTCTATCTTGGTGCCAGTTACCCAGCTGCACCTCCTTTCTAGCAACTTTGTACACACTTTTCCCAACAGGCTTAATAAGGTAATGTCCGGATAAATGGAAAATTTCCTGTGTTCTCGCTTCTTGAAGGGATTACGAAAACCCCGTTCTCCAGTCCGCTGGTATCTTCTCCGTAGCCACTGCAGTTTCATGGACATGTATAAGCACGTGCCTTTCCCCGCTAATACTTTCAGCACTGATGGACAGATTTCATCATTTGCAACAGCCTTTCCATTTTCAAGCTTTCTCCAGTTTGCATGATTTCGTCTACAGAAACAGTTATATCCATGCCCTTCTGCTCTACAGGCAAATCTTCCTGTGGTTGCTCGTGGTCAAGTTGTTCCTCGAAGTACTCTCTCCATCGCCGAAGAACGTCCTTACCCTTAATAAGACGGTATCCATCAGCCTCTAGTATGGCGCTCTTAGACAGCTTCCACTCGATTTCCACATCAGTGGTCATCACCGGGATCTGTTCAAGCCGTCGTGCGATGTTGTTTGCAAATTTGGCTCTCGTGTCCACCGAAGACAATGTTTCCCATTTGATTCTCCGGTTGCTTCTGCCACTGGATCTTCGTATGGTACTCCATTTTTTACAGCGCAGCGTGCCAACAACAAGGTGGTGGTCGCATAACAGTTCTGCGCCTTTCTTAACGCCAACATCCATTACACAGCGTGTTAAATCAGAAGATACGATTACCAAATCGATGATGCACCTCTGTGCAGAAGCTTCGTCGTATCAGGTACACTGATGTACGCTTCGATACTCGAAATAGATGTTCATGATTGACAGTCTGCTGTTTGCACAAAACTGCAGCTACCTCATTTCGTTATTGTTGAGGTCGCTGGGGCCATTCTTTCCAATCAGGCCTTTTCACTTTTCTATGTCTACTCTGGCACGCATATTAGAATGAGGGTCTTCGTAGTCGGCACTTGGAATAGAACCCAGTCCACTTCCTCAAAGAAGGACTCATATTCTTCCACCAAACTGCTCGCATAAACCTGTAACAAGGTCACCGCTTTAGAATGCTGCAGCTTCAGTCGCAAGATTGCTACCTTTCAGCTGACAGGCTTCCATTTTCAATGATTCTGTGAGCCAGAACACCATCACCGGCCTGAGCGCGAAACGACACCGGAGTAGAATAACTTCAACGTGCAGAAATTCAGGATTCCAGAGCCTTGGCGTTTTGTAGACGAGAGCCCAACAATATGGAGTTAGCTCTTTATGGCCTCAATAATTAACTAGCTATTTCCCTCTGATTGAGGATATATTCGTTTTCGACTTTAAGCTCCCACTAGTGGTGTCGTTCTCGTGGACCCTTTTCTGACGTGCTATAATGGCATCGCGCTGTCTGCCTCCTCCGTTCAGAACGAGTAGCGACTCCGTTGCCGACTGGTATCTTCGTCGTCGTTCAGTTCCCCAACAGCCTACGTGGCCCTTGGTAACCTGGGCGACGACCGAGCCAGTATAATTTTCGATGAAGTCAATACCATGAAGGGCAGGTAGTGACATTTTACGTAGACTTCGCCACGGTCTCCAACCTTTCTCTT